CCCACGACTATAAAAGTCGACTCAAGCAACAAAAGTTGCACGCCTCGAGTAAAATCTCGGCAAAACAAGAAAAACCTGCGATTGCAGAGGTCGGCTCAAACGACAAATCTCATATAATCCGTTTCAGGCTGCAAAAGCACTAACTACAAAATATGTAAGCAAAGGAGATGTCGACAAACCCACAATTGCACAGTTGTAAGCAAAAACCCGAAGAATACATGAACGTTGCAGGAACATAACGACGTGAACTAAATAAAATGAGTAATATAGAAAAAGAAGATTCATTAAAAGAGTCGTCTCAACCTTTACAGATGGGAAAATTAGGTTGATCGGAACAAAAACAAACAAATTAAAAGGCAACAAGCCTCGAAAATACAACTAGGGAATAGCATCTTCATCACTCTCTTCAAGGATGGTCACGACTTGATCACCATCCTTCGGCTCGACAGGTTGGACCGGAGAGGACACAGGAGCATCCAATTGATAGGTGAACTTGGATTCCCGGATGACCTTTGCCTCGAGACCGGTCCACCAGGGGTAGTCGTCCGGAAGAGACGGATCACCCTCATAGCCGTCAGGGTCAGGAAGTGTAAGCTTCAAGGCCTCCCGGTCGACTCGACCGGCAAATTCAGAACCCGCAACCACGGCCTCCCAAGCATCAAAAGCATAGTTGAAGTATTGAACAGCGGCGGGGCAGAGCTTGTCGAGGAACTCAGGAGAGTTACAGAAAGCCTTGACGACTTCCTTACGGTACTCACGGACAAAGGCAGCGCCTATGCCAGTCCTCAGAAAAGACTTCCGGCCCTCGACGATGCCGATGTCCACTTCGTACATGTTAGCCTCCTGAGCCTTCTCGAGGTCGGCCTGGAGTTTCTCCTTCTCATGTATGGCAAAGGCCTTGTCGGCTCTCAGCTTTTCAATCACAGCCTTAGAATTTTCTAGCTCTTTCTTTAGCCGAGCATTCTCCCCAAGCTGTGCCTCATACTTCTCCTCGAGGCTAGGACCAGAGGAAGTGGGGGGTCGAGTGCCGGCCTTGAGGCCGGGGAGAGCAGCCGCCATAAACTAAAAAAAAAAAAAAAA